CTGATATACTTTGAACATGTCGTAAGGACAGACAGGTCCTTGATGAGGGACATGATGCTTGGTAGGGTGGAGGGACAGCACAGGAGGGGAAGACCCTCTATGAGTTGGATTGATTCAGTGACTGGGGTAATCGGGATGGGTGTGTCAGGGGCAATGCAATTGGCACAGGATAGAGCAGGGTTTAGGGCCATTGTACATAGAGTCGCTATGAGTCGCAAACGATTCGATGGTACATAACAACAACAACAATATGAACAAGGCTGACACGAAGATAGCGAGATGTGGCAAAGTTTCACACATCAGCCAGAAGTGGGGTCTACACAACTACTGACTGGACCTTTCTCTCTCACAAGGTGGCGCCACCCCACGTGGCATCCTATGACGGCAGCCTGCCGGCTGAAGGGTCACCTACCTTGATGACGTCCTCATCGGTGGCCTTGCACTCCACCGACTCCGAGATGTCCGTCACCGCGCTGTTCTCCTCCACGGAGACCACCCTGATTGGCATGGACACCGTCTTCCCTGTGAGGATGGCCGAGTTGAGGATTTCCGTGTCCTGTAAGACAATGAGATGCACGTGAGTCAAGCAAGGGTTCCAGTTCCGTGGGAAATCAGACGACGCCAGATGCCAGGGTGCCCGCTGGTGTGGACTCAACAATGACCTTACGATTGTGGCCAAAGGGGCAACTCCTAAGACCATGGAACAATTTACTTTTAACTTATGACCAACAAGAAGACATAGGATTTTCCTCGCTTGCAGAAAACAAGTAGAAGTTTGGCGCCACCCCGGTTAGGTTTTAGCTGGAAGCGACAGAAAGTAACTCTGGCTCATTTGAGAAAAAGTTTCCTGGGAAGTGGAATAAACCCCAAACCCACAAAGATCTCCATATCCTAATGCCTGGACTCTGAATGTGCGGCCTCACATGGTAAACGGGATTTTACAGCCGTGATTAAGGGAGTCACGCCAATTTTCTGGTTTCCCAGCACGTGTCAAAGTTATGTTGATGCCACACTGGAGTCTGTTTGTGAGAAAGTTAGAAACATTAGGAGAATGACCCAAATGAGGCACAGAGCCATAACGTGCTGTTGGGAACGTGAGGTCAACAGACCCACTCCATAGAGGGTAGCCTCAGATCTTAAAATTTAAAAACCACATTGTATTGTCCAAAAGGAATATACAAATAGGTGTAACTATGTCAACAATGAAGAACAAGGGGTGCACTGCTGGGTGGGTTGAGGGAAGGGGGAAGAGGGGAAGGAAATGTGCAATAATGAATAAAGCCCTCTATCGTATCTGTGAGTCGACAATACAGGGTGTCCCTGTGTTAGCACCCCATCTCTCCTACACCCCGTGATCTGCACTGCAATCAGGAGATGTGGAGTCCTACCTGGTGCACTTCTCTGCATAACAAAATGAAGAGGAAAGTCATCTGACTTGGACACCTGCTGGGCTCTATGAGGAGGAGAGTGGAGTCAGGATTGGTGAAGATCTATTAACAATCTGCATTATGCAGATGACACAACCCTGCTTGCTGAAACTGAGGAGGACCTGAAATGTTTGCTGCAGAGGGTCAAGGACTGCAGCCTTCAGTATGGATTGAGGCTCAATGTCAAGAAGACATAGATTCTCACCACTGGACCAATTGGCATCATCAGGATGGATGGTGAAGAGATTGAGATTGTTAACATTAGTATGTTTGGCTCCACGGTCAACACTCTTGGCACCAGCAGCCAGGAAATAAAAAAAAAAAACAAACATATTGAAATGGGAAAGTCTGCTGTTAGGGACCTCTCTAGGGTACTGAAGAGCAATGTTGTCACTCTGGAGACCAAGGTGTGTCTGATACAGACTATGGTCTTTGCAATCACTTGTTATACCTCAGAGAGTTGGACAATGACTACAGAGGAGGACAGAAGGAGAATTGATGCCTTTGAGCTGTGGTGCTGGAGAAGAGTATTGAATGTACTATGGACTGCCAAGAAAAGAAACAGATTTATCCTGGAGAAGGTTAAACCAGGCTGCTCCTTGGAGGCAAGAATCCTGGGGCTTCGTCTGACATACTTTGGACATGTTGTAAGGAGGGACAGGTCCTTGGAGAGGGACATCATGCTTGGGAGGGTGGAGAGACAGCACAAGAGGGGAAGACCCTCTATGAGGTGGATTGATTCAGTGACTGGGGTAATCGGGATGAGTGTGTCAGAGACAGTGCAATTGGTATAGGATAAAGCAGGGTTTAGGGCTGTTGTACGTAGAGTCGCTATGAGTCACAAGCAACTCAACAGCACATAACAACAACAAAAACAGCTTTGGGTTGATTACTTCTCAAATCGCTCTCTCCAGAAACACTCTCTGGTCTGGAGCAGGAGCACAAGCAGGAGCAAAGAGACTGTCTCTGTTCCCTCTCCAGGGATGCCAGCGGCACAAACATCACTAGCCACTGACCTAAGGGAAGCCCCTCCCAGGTGGCCCTGCCTACCCCACCAAGCTCAGCTTCTCTCTGCTGGCTCTTCTCCTGAGTCCCCTGCATTTCCTGCAGCTAGGCTGCAACTTGGACAGCTTGCACAAGGACTACTGCAGATGCCCAGACTCCTACAGAAATCCCCCAGCCCATTCCAGGTTCACTCCAGGAGCCAAGCTCAGGGCTAAGTGTTTCCACTCTCCCTTCAGAACGGCTGCTGGCTAATAGCTTCATTAAAGCAATGAAGGTGCTCATGGCTTAATTGACATTATCTTTTTTAATGGCTATTGTGGTTTCATTCAATGCTTACACATACACATTCACATTCTCTCTCTCCCCCTCACCCAGCATCCTACCTCTAAACTGCACCATATCAGGACTAATGTTGATTGGGTACCAGACTTCTTTCATAGGCCAATAACAGGGTTAGTCAACATCCAGTCCCAGAAAGGCCAGTGGCTGAACGGGGCATTGGCTTCCAGGATAAACTGGTTAATAAGTATCAGGCATGCTGTCTTTGTTTAAAAGCTGCTTTTCCAAGCAACAGTTTTGCTTTGGAAAAGAGGCCCATTTTCACTGTGAATTGTGTTGAAGGTTGACAGAGCAGAATGGTTTCCACTGGACAGTTCATACTCATCTTGACTCCTGGCGTTGATCGCCATCCTAACACTGTAGTAGCACTCTTGCTCACTGTGTGTTCTGTTTCCACTCACCCTTCTTGCTCAGGCGTTCCAGCCTTTTGAGTTTTACCCCTGGACAAAGGCTGCCTTTGAACCTTTAAGAGTTGACTGTTCTAAGTTTATGTCTCCTTGGCGTCCCTGATAATGTTGGAGACCTAAACTCTGGTGCTGTAGTCTGGAGTTTTGATGCCAAGTCAAAGGCCACCTAGTGGCTTGAACCCGCCAGGGACTTCCTCAGGAAGCAGATGGGTGAGCCCTTCCTGTGCAGCTGAAGCCTCGGAAACCCAATGGCAAGTGGGCTGTCAGTGGTCCGACTCGATGGCAATGACTTGAGTTTTTACTGGTTTTTTAAACTGAGATTTTAATGAAAGTTTATAAAAAACTTGGGCTTCCAATCCTTCACTGTTGCACATTTTCTTCCCTAGGCCCTCTCTTGCCCAGATAATTTTTTTCTTTGGAAAAAAAGTTAATTTATTGTTATACAGTTCCCCCACCCCCCACCCCACTTTACTATGCAATTCTTATTCTGGACTCTTGTCATGCAAATAATACCTAATCATAAATTCCTTTCATACAGTTCTCTCCCTTATCTGTTTCAATGCTGTGTACATTATTTATCCTCTCTTGTCACAGTTTTCCCCTGAACCCCCCATGCCTATCCTGTTTTATAACAGTGGCATTATGCTGTATTTGTCTTTTTGTGACTGAGAAATTTCACTTAGCATAATGTCCTCCGTGGTCATGCATTTTGTATAATTTCATGAGTTCTTTGTTTTTCAATGCTCTATAATATTTCATTGTGTGACTATACCACAGCTTCTCTATTCATTCATTCGTTGGTGGGCACTTTGGGTTGATTCCATCTCTTTTTTATAGTGACAAAGCAGCAATAAACATGGGTGTGCATATATCTGCTTGGGTGGCAGTTCTGGTTTCTTTAGGGTATATTCGCAGTAGTGGAATTGCTGGGTCAAATGTTAGTTATTTCTATTTCGAATTTCTTGAGAAAGCACCATACTGCCTTCCACAGTGGCTGCACCATTTTACACTCCCACCAACAGAGAATAAGGGTTCTCGTTTCTCCACAACCTCGCCAGCATTTGTTGTCTGGTGCTCTGTTGAATTTTGCTGTTCTTACTGGGGTGAGATGATTATCTCATAGCTGTTTTAATTTGCATCTCTTTTAGAGCTAGGGATTTTGAACATTACTTCATGTGCTTGTTAGCCATCTGAATGTCTTCTTTGGTGAAGTGTCTGTTCATACCCTGTGCCCATTTTGCAACTGGGTTATCTTGTATCTTCCTGTGGCGATGACTTGAGTTTTGAGTCTATAGATCTGCCTCTTTTTGGCTGAAAGTTGAGACACGAGGGTGAACTGTGTTTGGTGCTTGCAGGGAGAGAAAAACACTTGCTGTGACAGTGGGCAAGTGCCAGCTTGGCTGGGCCATGGCTCTCGGTGGGGTGACATTTATTTAATGACGTGGCAGGAAGGAATGATGCTGATTAACACTGACTTGACTCACAGTGCAGTTATCTTCCATTTCCCCATAATGTCCATTTTCACTTAATGACCTGATCTTTGGAGTCCTGTCAATAACCAAGGAGCAGAGGCTAACTCCCTGGCATACCATTTAAATGCATAACGCTGCTTTGATTAAACGCATAAATCCCCTTCTCTGAAATGCACCCCAATCCCAGCTGGGTGGGCTTATCAGCAGCAGGGTCCCATTAGCTGGCCCCCATAACTTGATGCCACGCTAGAGAAAGCCGCTGGTTGTCTTGTCTCTAAGCCCATGCATCGCAGGAGGCAGCTTCCTTCTGAAAACACATCGTGCACACTTTCCCTTCACTCCAGCAGACGAATGCTTACCAAGGGTCTTTCCAGTGCCTCCCTGCAGATGCCCACATTATTACAGTGGCCCCTTCGCCATGCACCTCTCCCACCACAAACCACGTCAGCGTGGATTCACAGAAAAGAATCAGTGCAACAGGTGCTTTAAATCACTGTTGTTTCACATTTGAAGGAAAAACTAAAAGCCCGGGGCTCCCAAGAACACAGCTTTCCTGTTTGATGTGCCCTCATAAATGCAAATGGGTCTGGCCATTTCCTAGGTAGATTGTATTTTTAATTTTTTATGGTTGCACAATAAGTTATTTTATGCAGTAGACTCTCCCTAAGCCCATCATGGAGCTGTGAGAGCCACATCTTGTACATCTGTAAATAATATTACAGAAATAATCTCCATCTGAAATCCCACCAATATCTTTATTGGATAGTCTGCTTGGAGTAACACAGCTGTAAGAAGAACACATATCTCTATCCAAATATTAATAAACATTGTACAGCCAAAAGGGGGCCAAAAAAACCCCAAACCCCAAACAACAAACCACAACACAAACTCATCACACTTATTTGG